AAAAAAGAAAAAAAACTTGGTGGATTTGAACCTGCGTCTCCCCCCGTACGATTTAATTACGATTCGAACGTTTTAGCCATTAGACGACACTCAACCGTAAGATTCGAATTCGATTTTCTTTCTACAAATCATATCATTCGATGTACGAATGAAACAAACAAAAAAAAAAAAAAAACGAAACGATGGTAGGTCCATCGGGGGACCAAAAAATACATAAAATTTACAACAATCGATTTACAGCCGAAACCAAAAAAAAAAAAAAAAAAAAAAAGAAAATTTAACGTTTCAAATAATAAAACGAACGTGCCGAATAAAAATGGCGAACCGAATTGAATTATTAAAAAAAAAAATTTTTTTTTGTCAACTTTAAAAGCCTTTCCCGTCAATAATAATTATTTTCACGGCACATATTCGAAAAATAAAATAAAACGTGTTAGACTTTTCTAAAAAAAAAAATACATAGGGTCGGTCCGTGGGGTGATCCGTGGGGTAGGCCGCGGGGTCACCCGGGGAATCAGAGTCGTAAAAAAAAAACCAAACAAACTTTTTTTTCTTTTCCCCTCCCCCCCCATCATTAAAACTCTCATCGCGTGAGGTTAAGTTTTGCATGCGTGTCCTAAAAAAAAGAAAGAAAATTCTGGAAAATTTTCAAACGTTTAATAAAAAAACCATAATAATGATAAAAATTATAATCTGGAATAAATTTACATAAAATCGATTGGAAAAAATAACAATAATAATAATAAAAAATTTTCTTTTTTTTTATTATCCGAAACATATTTTAAGATGTTTAAAAACTTTTTTATTTTCCGGAAATCGAAATAACTAGTGAAAGGGAGTATATGGAAAAATCTAGAAAGAATATTTTTTTTTTTTTAACTCCGCCATTTTTTTTTTTTGTAAACTTTTAATTGCATTCGACAGAAAAAAAAAAATTAATTACTTTTAAAACAATAATAATTACGACGGGGGAAAAAAAAACAAAGTTGTTATATTATCATCATCATTTATTTTTTATTTAAATAAATTAATAATAATAATAATTTTTTTTCCCCGTGAAAACAAAAAAATAATAATAATCATATTAATAATAATTACGTATTTATTTACATAAATTTAAAAAACGAAGAAGGGGGCGGGGCGGAGCGAGGTAGGAAAGAGGAAAGGAGGGGAAAAGAAATTTACATTTGCGTTAATAAATATGTATATGCATTTTCATCAACGATGATGATGATGATGATGGTAATAATTTAAAAACCCAGCGATCCAAATAAAAAAAAAAAAAATTTTTTTTTTCCTTTCATCGATTTCATTATTATTATTAATAAAAAAATAAATAAATAATTTTATTATTATTATTTACTTTTATTTATTTATTTATTAATAAATAAAATAAAAGTATTTCGCATTATTTCCTATCAATTTAATTCTATCCGATATTTTTATTTATTTATTAAATAAAAAAAAATTTATGTTAATAATAATAATGTTTTTTAATATGCTTTTTAAGCTATTAAATGTATTTATTAATAAAAAAAAGAAAATGGAGAGGAAACATTTCAACGACGTTTTAATATCGCGATGAAAGAAAAAAAAAAATAAAAATAAAAAATTTAATAAAAAAAAAGTAAAGAATAGAAAAAAGAAAAAGAAAGAAAAAGAAAATTCGAACTGAATAGAATTAAACAAAATAGCATTAAAAAAAAAAAAAAAAGGAAAAAAAATCAAAGGAAATATAGTAAGAACGAGGAAGGAAAGAAAAAAAAATCAATAAAAGGCTTAGGGATTTATTATTATTATTATTATTATCATCATCATCATCATTATATTCTAACGTAAGATATCCATCCGACCCAATTTTATATCTTAAAAGGAGTATAAATATTGTTATATGTCGTTTCGAAAAAAAAAAATTGTCGTTTACGTCCGCAACGAAAGTTTAAATAAATTTAAAAAAAAAAGTAAATCGTAATGCCCTCCTCTCCCCCCCTTTTTTTTTTGATTGACGTATCGAAATTCTGGAGGAAATCATTTGCGAAAAAAATTTTTGAACGATTTTTACCTTTTTCTGTGCTAACCGGATAAACAATTTAAAAAAAAGTCAAAATCAACGTCAAAAAAAAAAAATAAATAAATAAATATCATCACCTTTCCAACGTGATGAATAACGAAATTTTGAACGACCTGAGAAAGAAATAGAGAGAGAGAGAGAGAGAGAGAGCTCAAGACAGAGAAAGAAAAGGGAAGAGAAAGAGAGAAACACAGAGAAAGAGAGAGAAAAAAAGAGAGCTTAGGAAAGAGAGAAAGAGAAAAAGGGGAGAGAGAGAGAGAGAAAAAGCGCTTAGGAAAGAGAAAAAGAAGGAAAGAGTCTATGGAAGAGCCTAGGGAAGAGAGAGAGAGAGAGAGAGAGAGAAAAATAGAGCTTAAGAGAGAAAGAGAAAGAGAAGGGAGAGAGCGCGAGAGAGAGAAAAATGGAATGATCTCGAATTTTTATTTTATTTTTTTCCCTCAGCGCTTTAAGGGCTGAAAAACGAAAAAAAAAATTAACAAATGAAAAGTAATTCGACCATTTTATAATAATATAACTTTTTGTAATTAAAAATCAATCACGATTTTTCAATCCTTCCTTCCTTCCTTCCCCTTTTTTTTTTCTCTCTCGGTTGAATTTTGTTCGACAATAAAAAAGAAAAGAAGCAAAAAAAAAAAAAAAATTAATTAAAAAAAAAAAATCGTAACAAACGAATACCAAATGAGTTTTCACCTGACGAGTGCGCGTGCGTGCGGAGCATTTCTCTAAACATTTTTGTAACGAACCCCCACGAAAACAAATAAATATTATTATTATTATCTTGTTTTTTTCTTTACAACATCACAATGTCCGGTTATTAAACTTATTAATTATAATTTTTTTATTGCTTTTTACCTTTTTTTTTTCTTTCGAAGTGAAAAAATTACTTATGTAATTAATAAAATCCTTTTTTATTAAAATTATTTAATTATTATTTATTAATTAATTCAAACAAAAAAAAATTACGTTTACATTTCCCCTCCCTCTCCCCACCCCTCCCCTCTTCCTCACCCATTCCCTCTTCGTTTTTTTTGAAAAAACCGAAACAATTTTTTTTTTAAAATTACATCTTAACGGTTATTTTAAAATTTCGCGCCAATTCCGACACAAAATAAATTAGAAATTCTCGTTTTATTGAATTCATACACGTTCGCGTGTCGGCGACAAAAATCCCGGGACACGTTTGCAAAAAAAGAAAAATTTCAACCAATCAGATTACACCATTTTCCGGGTCAACCGTTAACCGTAACTTTTTGAAAAAAACGAACGAAAGAACGCATTTAGTTTTTTTTTCGCCTTCTCGCGCATCATCACCATTCATTCATTTTTTTTTTTTTTTTTTGGAAATTTTATTAAAATAATAATAATAATAACACAATCGAAAATTTATTATAAACGACGGATATTACTTTAATTAATTAATAACGATATTTTAATTAAATAAAAAATGACCAAGTTTATAATTTATCATCATCGTTTTCAATTTATTCCGGTAAATATATAGTTTTCCTTTTTTTTTTACTTTTCCAATTATCAATACGTGTCATTCTGTTAAATATTATTTAAAAAAAAAAAAAAGATTTGAATTTTGTTATATACATTCGTGATTCGAACGGTTTTTTCTTGCAAAATCCATTAAAAAAAAAAAATTTACACTTAAATTATACGCATACATATATACATTTTTTTTGTCTTTCGAAAAACAATAATAATAAATAATTCATGAAGTTTTGTTTTTTTTTGTTTGTTTCGCGTGGTCGTGTGTTGTTAAAAACTTTGTTTGTTTTTTACTCTTACAGAATGTCAACGGCGTAAATAAGAAAGAGAAACAAACAAAATGTCCGACTACGAAAGAATCCGTCTCGTTTTATTAGGTGGACAAGGAGTTGGTAAATCGTGTATAGTGAAAAGATTTCTTTTCAACACGTATTCCGACAAGTATAAAAGTACCGTCGAAGATCTTTACAGCAGAGAATACGATCTCGGTCCGGTAACGCTTAAATTGGATATACTCGACACGTCCGGTGACATGCAATTTCCGGCAATGAGAAGACTATCGATAGCCACATCTCATGCTTTCCTATTAGTTTATGCCACGACATCCGAATCTAGTTTTCAAGCCGTTAAACAGTGTTTCAATGAGATAAGAGAACAAAGAGCCGATCACCAAGAGATACCCATCGTTGTCGTGGGTAACAAATTGGATTTGGCTGCAACCCACAGGGAAGTTTCCATAGAAGATGTTTCCGAATGGTTGTATTGCGAATTACCAAGACTCAGGTAATTTATATACGTCATCAATTTCAAATTTCTTATCGATAATATTTTTTTTTTTTTGTTTTCTACAATTTTATTAAACTTTTCCTAGTCTTTCCTGTTGTTTGTTGTTTGTTCTTGTACTTTTAAAAATATTTACCCAAATTTTGATAATTTTTTTTTTTTAAATTGAATATTAAATTACATTTTTTGGAAGAAGCCACAGTTTTATTATTATTATTATTATTACTACTTATTGTAATTAACTTATTAATTAAAAAAATTCGAAACCACCATTTTATTTTAATCGATGGTTTAAGCTTTGAATAGAGAGAGAGAGAGAGAGAGAGAGAGAGATAAAAAATGAGAAACTTACCACTTATTGTATCGTTCCAGAGCAAAAATAGTCGAATGTTCGGCCAAAGACGGGTACAACATAAAAGAAATATTTCAAACTCTTCTTTCCCTATCGAAAATAATTCCAGCAAATAATACGGAATCGACTGGAGGATTGAAAAGACGATCGAGCGCATATGTGAGCACAAATAAAGGAGGTAGACGAATAGCAAGTCCGGCAACATCCGATTTCAGTAGAACGGAAACGACGACTAATAATCCGATAACTGATAACGGTCAAGGTGGAGGAGGAGCAGCATCAGGTTCGGACACGTCCAAATCAAAACCTAGAAGCAGAAGTTTAATAAGAAGATCGAGTAGGAAAACAAAACAACAAATGAGAGAAGTACACGGAGAAGTCGATCAGTGTCACGTGTCCTAAAGGAAAAATTATTTTCTTTTTTTTTTTTTTTAATA